CAATACCAATGCAATCCATTGACTCGTGATTCCCCAAATAGGATCAAAGCAGTTCATGCTGTTAGCAGTTCACACTGTTGGACGCCTCTACTTCTGAGGGATCAATAGAAAATACTGAATGTATTTGAAATCCTTCTGCTCTGTTCTTGGCTGCCTCAGGTAGTGATGTGAAAAATGGCCCTGTTGTCTTTATTCTCTAGTCTGGAGGCGTCTGAAAGAATGGAAAAGTGCTACTGATATGTATGAAAGCACCTGCTCTGCCGGAACTGTGACCTAGAGATGATTTAAACACTTTTAAAGGGAAGGAACCTGGGCAGGAGGCTGTTTGCTTATCATAGAATGGTTGAAGGGACCTCAAAGATCATCAGGTTCCAACCCCCCTGCCACCAACCTCCGTATCTAATACTAGGCCATAGTATTGCAGGCATACACAGAGAAATACAACAGCCACAGAAAGAAGGGAAGAATAATCCTGCAGCTGCATTGCACTCCCAAGGTGAATCATTTTGGCATTTCTAAAATTCAAGACAGTGATGCTCAATTAAGACATACATGCAGGAGCTGTGAGAATAACACTTGTGAGGATTAGGTAGCCTCTCAGAAAGAAGGTGCAACTAGAAACATTAACTATGTGTGCTGCGCAGTTGACGGTAAATTGAATGAGATCAGACAGTAAGCATGAAGCCTTTGCATAGTAGGATTTAGCCTTGTTAGAAAGGTATTAAGATGCACTTGTTTGTAAAGTCAGAATTTGGCAAGCATTTATTTTCACAATGGTTTCTAAAACTCCACCCTCACTTCCATATCATCTTCTCATTTGAACTACTAAACTATTTGTGGGGCCACGCAATGAGTCGTTGAGGTAAAAAATGCCTCAGCCAAAAGTGAAGAGAGGAAGGGTTTTTTTTTCCTAAGTACACAAACCAGCAAAACTGGCTAGTTTAGCCAGCACCAATGATTTAAGAAGTGCTTGTCAGACTACACCCCAGTGCTGGAGCTGTCCTTATCAGCAATGACTGGCAAACAGCTCTTATGTGATTGCTTACTCTCGTTCCTGAGTTCTGGTTTTGAGTATAGGGCAATGATTGCATGAGGACCTGTAGCCTGAGAAAACCTCCAGACAAATTTCTATACAGACGTTCCCAGCTGAGAGGAGTTTAGTTTGCCTGTGGAAGAAATCAAAATATGTCGATATTGTTAAAGGTCAGTAGCTGAGCATCCAAGCTCCAGATAGCCTGCCTTAAAAATGTGCATACAAAAGTCTTAGTCAAACTAATATTTGATTATTTATCTGTGATTCCACTATATGTTTTTGCTAATCTTTCCAATTGGTTTTCAGAGTCTTATTATGACTGCTCCTGTGTTCCCTGGCTAATTTAAAATGTTAGAAAAACTCTTTTCTCCTCTTAATTTCTCAGTTTTTCTTCTTGAAAGTTCTAATTTCCAACACTGTAAAGTTCTGTAATATCCTAGCAGCATTTTTTTTTTTTTACTGATGTTCTGATTTGTTGAGTTTGTTTACTGAGGTAGCTGAATAAGCTGCCTGAACACATTTTCAAGACTAGTTGGAGCATTTTGTTTGCTGTATTGTGTATAATTAGACTTGGCAGAACTCAGATTCTGTAATGACAGTTTCTATTGCAGGGAAATCAAAGACAATAAGAATCTGTCACTTGTCACTTTGTGGAGAACCCTGTAGTAGACTTTAAAATAATTAAAAATGTGCAATACTGGTCAATATTGTATGAAAATATACAGAATATTGGGCAAGTCACAGCTCCAATTCAAAATGCAACAATTGTTTGTATTTGGCCTATTTTTAGTTAAATATTTTTTGCTACATCCCACTGAACCCTACTGAATAACTCTAATTAGAAGCCTTCAGAATAAAAGGTCAACACACTTTGTTTTAGCTCACGTATTCAACCTGTTCTTCCTTCTAACTACATGACAAGGTTGTATGTGTGATCTTTGATTTCTTTTTTTTTTTTTTTTTCCTCCTATCCCCTGGGGACACAACTGAGTAAATCAAATAATATTTGAATACTTTTGTCAAAATAATGCTTTGCAATTCCACCTAAGATGTTTAATATCTTTTGCTTTGCAGCTGAATCCTGTTTGCATTCCAGTATTGTTTTAAACTCTTTTGGACAGCAGTCTTTACAAGAGAGCTATCCATGTACTTGGAGCTGCAGTTCAAAAACAGGCTTTCAAGGCAGCTCACTGGATCTTGCAGGAGCTCTTCCAAACAAGACAATATTATGTCTGCAAGATCATGGCTAGTCTCAGAGGGAGACAACAATCTAGAGGATTATAATATGCCATTAATAAATATGTTTATCATCTCTCATAGGAGTATTATTTTGAAAACCAGACATCTGAACTGAGCAGAAAAACACATGATATTCTTTCCTCTTAAGTGTTCCATGCAGTATGGAAATATAATTACAGTACACTTTTGGTCGAAGCAGATGGCATTTCACATCTGTGTTAAGAATATTTCCCCCTAGCAAATCATTACTCTGTCCTAATAATTAATATGAAAAAAATGATCTGCGCTGTACAAAAGTAGCTGTGACTTTGAAATAGGTGTTTGTAGGTGAAATATACTGTTGTAGACATCTCAAGAAGAGATAGAATAGGCTTTCATTTAGTCTGTGTAAAGTAATGCATTATTAAAATTAACACAACAGAAAAATTAAAATTAACACATTCAGAAAGCAGTTTCAGTCACAAAATCATGCCCTCTTTTTTTAAAGGAGAGGATGCTACAGGAGAGAAATGGTGGCATTCTTTTTTGAAAGCATGGGAGCAGATGTACCCTTGGAGTGAACCCTACCTGAATGGATGAAGTTGTTCCCAGCTTTTAGCAACAATGCTTTATAACTAGAGCCACGGGAGGGAAAGGTAAGGGGGTCCTCAAGTGGGAATTAGCCTTGGAAATAAATATGTATTATAAACCTCAGCACCAGTTTATATATTAGTATCTGTCTTCGCAGTATGTGATTTTAAGATCTTTTGTGCTATACCTAAATGTTCTCTCTTTTAAAACTTCCTCTTCTGGGACTGTAATTCATTCTGTATTCTTTTATTCCATATGACTATATATAATCTGAGGAAAATGTGAAACTGCAGTAAAGAAATGAACCTTCCACCAAGAATAATTTATTTCCTGCTGTTTCATACTGTGTCTCCATTCACTCTGTTTCTTTCCAGTCTCCCTGGTCTTTTGTTATTTTGATAAAGCTCCTAATACCAAAGAGCCAACATAATTGCCACCCATCCCTGGAGATAAGTGAGAGAGATGGTAAGCAGATGTCAAAGTCTCAAAACAAAGGTGAGTACAAAGCTATGTAGAACACCGGTGATTTTATAAAGGAGAAATTAGCATTATCGAGCATTGTTTGGGGAAATGGTTATGCAAAGAATTAACAATTTTATCTGAAAAGAAAGAGAAGGCAGCCGCACCTGCCTGAGCAAGCACATTAGCATAAGCCTTAAAGAAAGCCTAAGAAGAGGGATTTACAGTAAGGGAGCTGGAAAACAGAGGCTTGCAGCTCTCCATAGACAGCAATTTGTTGATCTGCCAGTGCTGGGGAGGTTAAAACTTGTGTGATTCTTGGAACCAAACGGATAGAGTACCTGACCTCAGCATCAGCTTTTCTTCTAGCTGAAATAACCTGCAAACTCTTAAAATCCTGGGTAAGTGGACAATTTGAGAGATAATGTCACTGCTTTTTAGGATGAAGGACCTAATGTTTCACATACTGAGAAAGTCAATTTGGACCACTTTCCACAGGTGCTATCCCAGCAGTGTAGAGGTGCCCTCACATCCACACCTCCCTCTCTGGGCTTTCTCCTCTCTGGAGGAGCTGCCCAGCACTGGCTCTATTGTCCTTAAGCAGCTCTGACTCAAACCTGTTGCCCTTGATATTTTGTGGTTTGCTTCACCCTCCTGTAGCTGCATATAAAAAATAACTATTACACTGCAGTGTATCATTTACCTGAGTTGAGTGGTTAAACACATTAAGGTCTCATCTCTTTTACCTCTGAGTAGAAACATTCACTATGGACAAACAGATCCTTACTAAGCTTCCCCAAATGTCAGTTTACTCCAGTTGACTCAACATTCCCTGTTAGCATACCCCTGTCTGTATATGGAACCTATTCCCACCATCACCCCAAAAAATCACCCAGACTAACAATGTAACCGAAAGCATTTGAAATTTAAAATGAGACGGTTTTAGCAGTTTTGTTGATATGTACACACAGATTTAACTGTGACAACTGTATATTTACTGCTTCTAAGTAATCTTTTGTGTGTGTAATAGTCAGGGAATCACTTGGAATGAAAAAAATAAATCAGAAGACGGTGAGAGAGAAGAAGTTGATAGCATCACACAGCAGAAGTTCAACACATGGTTCATCACAGCAGATAGGCTGCTATGTGTCATGTGTATTCACAATCTTGCTGGAAATTACTGCTGAAATTTACCTTTCCTTTATGGAGATTTAAATTTCAAAATAGTAAAAACCAAACAACATAGAAATAAACAGTAAATACTCACCTACATGGTACCACAGGTCAGGACTTGCTGGAATGAATGAACAAGTGAGTTGACAATATAATTAGCCTTGTCTGGAAAGGCAGGGCTCTGGCCCAGCCAATTGGGACTTGTCATTCGGTGTAAACCTTAGCATAATTACAGGGCAGTTGATTAAAGGTGTCTTCTGTCTTAGCTGATCACAGTAATTACTGTGACAAAACATTGCCCGTCAAAGGTCTTACAACTAGTTTTGTGATATAAAATTTCCAAAAACAAATTGAAACTTTTTTTTTCCTAAAGTAAGAAATACTTTATATTTCAACTTTTGCTTTTTGATGCACCAGTGGTTTGACCAGTGGAGGCAAAATTTTTTTCATGGGTTTGCTATGCAGAAATGAGGTGGGGGAAGAGAACTGCCTTCTCTGGTGCTCAAGCATAAAGAGCCAACAGGACCTGCATGCATGTTGTGTGCCAAACAAGGCAGCAGGGGGAATTACCCACTGGGGAGCAGAGACTGAGGTTGCTAGGTTAGGGATTGCCCAACTGAGCAGCACAGTGCCCTCTGATTGTTCTCACAGAGATTCAGGCAGGAGCGCTGGAGCATTTCTGGTAGATGCTGATGCAGAGCATGTTGCCAGCCATATGGAGGTACTGAAACAACCTCCCACTATGTCATTAAACTCCTCACTGTGATGACACTCGCATAGCCTTGTAGATTGAGGGCTTCCCACAACAGTGGGGTGGCAGGGAGCCATGGGTTAGAGCCGTTTTGAGCTGCAGACCTTCATTTACGCTTGTCATGTGGAACTTCATCAATGGACACATTTCTCCCTCAGCAGAAAAACAACTTTGTTTTGGAGTTGATTTTAGTATCAAGATTTTTGTTACAATATTAAAACCTTTCAAACATCACGCATACTGATTTCTTAGTGTACTATCTTTTACTGTTTTCTGTGCTACATGACACATCCTTCATAAACGTATGAGTAAATAGATCCAATGATAAACCCTAAAATGATAGAAGAGCCAAAATAGTCCATTATTTTATACAATCATTAAAATCAGCCACTATTTAGTACTTATATTTTTACACTGACTTTAAATAAATGTATAGAAGAATAATTTAGAAATTATGATCTAAAAAATAACAGTTTTTAACACCATTCTAGAATTATGATAAAAAATATTCTAAAGCAAAGAGTTTTCTGTGGTGAAGGAACAAGTTGGAATAGAATTTACATATATATGTATACATTCATTTTATCTCTCCTTACTAATATGTTCCTGTACATTAGATAAGAATCTTAAAACAATATTAATAGGTAAAAGCTTTGAAAAAAATCAAGGGTTTTAGATTTTTCAGTGTTATTCTAAAATTTGTTCTTGTCTGGGTTGAATTCTGTAAGAGAAAATATTTCCTTCTTCATGGAAAATATCAAGCCAGCTTGATGTGTGAGATGAACAAGGAAAACAGAGATACACAATAATGAGACCTCATAGGTCGATTTACTGTTGAGAAACTCATGGTAGCTGTTTTCAGAAACTTGCTGCTATTTCAGCCCAAGCTATAGATTGCAAAGCTCTGCCAATTCATCTGCAGCAGTGGTTTTCTCTCCTCTAACGCTTCATCTTTTTGGTACAGGATCCACTTCACAGGGGCCTAACAGCCAGAATCCTAGCTTGCACATTCACCACCTGTTGTCTACCATCCATTACTCATATCAAGTAAGAATTTGCTCCCAGAACAGGGCTTTTGCTGGCGGAAGTTTTAAATAAAGAAGTGAAATACCAGGCAGTTCCTAAAATGGGAAAGAAGCATTGGTATGCATGGTGGAAGTGGTCTTGTGAAATAGAATGAAAGTTGAGGAAGCTGAGGAGACATGGAAATGGTTCTGAAGGACTATGGGAAGCAAAAGTTAAAGAAGAGCTGCAGGGAACCTTGACCAAACCATTCTTCATGCCTCATTAACCTACCAGTTTGTTTTTAAGACATTCGCTTACATTCTCTCTGACTTTTACCATCAAACTCTTTCAAAGCAAGACGCTCAGCTGCCAATACAGAAGGTTCCCATCCCCTACAGGGGTCAGCAAATTATTTTCTGCAGTACTGCAGGGCTTCTCTGTGGCCACTTCTGGGTGTTACAAACAGCCCCACAGCCGCTGAATGTGTCAGCCCCCCTGCTGAGGCTGCCAGAAGAAGTGCTAATGCTGTTTGTGTAATCTAATGCAAACATCTGTCCATTAGCAACTGGAGAAGAGCCACCAGTGTCACACCCCACAGCTGCCGGCCAGTATGCAGACGCTCACAATTTCCAGTTGCTGGAAATGAGCTGGATTCAACCCAATAATCTGGTGGTAAATGTCTCTGTGCCCCTCCAAATTATAAGAGTGTGGCTGTTAGGTGGCTTTTGATTTCATTTTGATATGACACAAATTGGAAAGTGTATGTGCTGGCTGAGGGACAGTGGAAGAAGAATAAAAATCAGAAAAGCAACAGCTGGTATCGAATAAGGGTAGAGATGTCTGAAGCAAGATGGGAAGAGAAACTGGTAAAGATATACAAATCTACCACACAGTCTGGATCATTGAATGCTACAAATAAAATAATGGGATATCATAGAATTATAGAGTCATAGAATGACTTACTCTGGAAGGCACCCTAAAGACCACCTTAATTCCAACCCCCTGCTGTGCTCAGCATTGCCACATGCTGCATCAGGTTGCCCAGGGCCCCATTCAGCCTAGCCTTGAACACAGGAATAGGGCATCCACAGATTCTCTGGGCAGCCTGTGCCAGAGCCTCACCACAGTCAGTAAAAATTTCTCTCAAACTTAGAAATAAAGGATGTGGTGTAGAACCATGTCAAAGGCCTTGCAGAAGTCCAGACATGTAGTGAGCAAAGGTAAAAGTGGCCCAAAACTTTTAAATAATGTAAGCAAAACTGAACTCTGCTGCCTTAAGAACAAACCATAGGACAAAAAGTTGCATATAGCCAGCAGTGTGCACTTGCAGCCTGAAAGGCCACTGCTTTTTGGAGAACTGTGCCTTTATTCTACCCAGGCCCCCAGCACACATGTAGCAGCTCACTGAGCTGGGCCATCCATCATAGCTACTGCCACCTGCCTTCTCTGCTGCTCAACAAAACCACTGCAAGTTCTAGGGAAGCTGTAGTTTTTAAATTTTGTAGGACGTAGAAGTGTGAAGCTGCATGAGATCTGATCAACAAGTGTATAATATGAACATCCTCAAATCTCACTTTCTGAGCATCCAGGTTAGAAATTTGACCTGAGTTCTTATGGTCTCTTTCTGGCCTTTGTCACAGGTTTCCCTGTGACAGAAACCAGGGCACTGGGGAAGAGCCATGGAAAGCAGTGCACTTCCATACCTTGCCCGAGGTTGTAAGTGACACATAGAACAAAAGCAGGAATGTTGAGAGCTCACTGTGATTTAAACTGAGGCAGTATTTTCCTTCCTATGCATGCATAAAATGTCCAGGTGGAAATGCCTCTTGAATGCTGGCAAGTCATCTAAGCACAGAACCCTTTATTGTATTACAGCAGTTACAGTCATTTTGAAAACTCCCACCATTTGTCTGTCTGCATTATGTAATGCAGCCCAGGGAAGATTTTCCTCTGTTATCTCCAAATGAGACAGCTTATTTACAGAGTACAATCCAGTGCAGAGACATGAGCAAGGGTCTTGAAAGCAGCAGAGCAGATTAACACATCTCACCTTGTCACGTGTAGCACTGTTCTATTTGGTACAGATCTGTTTTAATTTGTCTGGAGTACTTTTAGGACCTGAGCAGCTCCCTTCATGCGACAGTTCAGAACTGCACCTCCTGATCCTAAAGGCCCCATGGCTGAACTAGCAGATTATTGTCCCACGCTCAGTGCTGCAGGGCAGCTATGCTGTTTCTGCCTCCATAGAACTTTTACTTGGGAACAGCACCACACTTCCACACTTTGGGTTTTTCCTGCTCTGGGGCTGGTTTGCACAGCCAGTCTGCCTCGTGTTCCTCTGTGCAGGCTGATGGGCAGCACAGTGCTCCCCCACTGGTTTGCCTCAGTGTCTTCCTGGACTCAGATGTAAGCTTTTGAAGGCTGCAGAGAAGGCTATTTTGCTTCTTTTTCTCGGTCTTGCATCATAACTAATTTTCCTTTCAGAATGACATTTCTAATTTACATCTTTCTAAACCCTTGTAAAGCTGCCATGACAATAGGCACTATAAAAATTAGTAAATAAGAATTTTCTTATTTACCTGATTGCCTTTCATGTCTCATTGTCTTTTATGTCATTCTATGCCAAGCCACTTTCAAGTTATATCCTCAGATGTGGAAGCTAAAAGCAATCTAAATGAAATGGTTTTATGTCAAGAAATATATATTCCCATGTACCCTGTGTACTTACTGAAAGCTGCACTTTTAATAAGGAATAGTAGACATTGACATCCTTCCCTTTCCATCCCAACTGCAAAAAGGGTTGGGAAACTCAGCTGCAGCTTACACCAATAGCATCAGCACAACATCCTTCTGAAGTGCATCCAGTCCCACATTCTCACTGCTGAAATTCACGGCAGTGCACATAGCTCTCATGCACCTATGAGAATTGATGTCAGTGTGCCAACACTCCCCAGTATAATGGATGTTTGGGATTGTGTCTTTAGCAAGAATAAACCCACTGGCCTGCACATTAGCATGAGCATGCAGGAAGTCATCCTTTGCATACAGACTGGCTCTAAGCATATGTGGAAAGAAAGAGAAGCAGACATCCTCATTACCCTTGCAGAGAAAATGAAATAAGCCCCTATGGATCCTTTCAATTGAAAAGAATTAAGAGTGCAAAGAGCACTTTATAGTCTTCCCTATGCTCCCAGATCCTTGCCATTTGGGATACACACATCACTGGATCACAGTAAATCCCACTTTTCACTATCACTTGCCAGACTTTACTTTTTGGTGCCAACACACATCTTGCAGGCCAGAATGTTTCCCCTTTTATGAAAATACAACCCACCTGAAAATCACTTATGTGGAAGTTGTGCAAAATCCAAATTAATATTCTCTATTCTCATCTTTCTAAAATTTAGAAAGATTTCTAAAAAATCTTTCTAAATAATTATTGCCAACCATGCAATAATTACTGAGAATACCATGGAGTAGAATGTATCACCTGTGATCCTGGCCAGGAGCAAACCATCTTTGTTGAGTAATACTGACCTCCACCCCAAACACAGTGACATCACTGCCCCAGGCAAAGAAAGCAGCAGAGATGGGCAACGCAGATGTGGGTAGCATTCCTCAGCAAAAACCATTATCAGCACCATCTCACCATAACACAGCAGGCCCACGGGCTGCAGCAGCCAGAAAGAGGCACATGAGTGCTTCCACAGCATATTTCAAGCTGTGAGAACATTTGCCTAGGTAATGTGCACATGCATAAATTTCTTTGAGAAATCTATAGTTGCAGTTTATTTTTTGAACAGACTGGAATATTCCTTAAAAAAATCATCAAACAATTCCCATTCAGCAGTGCTATACAGTGTGTTTGACTGATAGGTTTTTGTTCTCTTCACATTTGTATGTATTGAACTTGATTAGGAGTTTGATCTCAAGGATTTTCTTCTGAGAGTTTCCTGCAGTTAAATTAGCTCTTTCTCCTGAGCATTCAGAACTTCCCTGCTGAGTCTGCTTTTTTTCCACCCTGCCTGTGAAGTTAAGGAGAGTAAAAACTCATTAAAGCTTTGCCATAACTATTCATGCACTGGAAAGGAGTTCTGAGACGTAGATACTAAGAGGTCCTAATTAATATTTGCCCTGCTTTGAGAGAAGTTCAGGTGCTTCACAGGCATCTCTCTCTTATGGTTTTATTTCACACATAACTTCTGCAGAAATCAGATCCATTTCTAACTGGATTAATATGGAAGGGACCTATCTGGCGAAAGTTCATCAGAGGATATTCCTGATTTGTTTCTGCCAGGAAAGTGGAATCAGACCCAGGGATCTTTTCCTTGTAATTTCTATATTAAGAACAATACCACAAGCAATTACAAATTCAGCCTGATTAGGTCTTTATGCATTTGTAAAATAACTTTGGGAAAAGAAAAAAAAAAAAAAGATCCAGCTGTCTGCTACCTTCCAAAAAAAAAAAAAAAAAAAAAAAAAAGTCCAATTTACTGAGCCTGCTGAGAAAAGTGCTAATTAAAGCAAGTCATAAATGTTCTGTGTCTGGATGACTACCTGAATTTGAATTAAAGAAAGAAAGGAACCGCGAGGCTTTTCACAGCGGCTGGGACAGGAGGTTGCTTACCAGCTAGCAGAAGCTGTTGGAACAGCAGTGACTTTCCACACCTTCAAACACAGCTGGAATGTGGCCCTAAGGAGAATCTGCATTATAAAATGCCTCTGAAGTCTTTCACCTGCCTGCGAAACGAATTTAAACGACTTCTGAAACATGCAAAGGTAGCAGTGCATTTGGATTGCAAAGCAGGATAGAAGCAATAAGTGTCTTCTCAGGCTACCCATCTACATATTAAAGACATAAAAAGACTGCTTTGTGTCATAAAGACCAGTGCCAAAACAAATTCAGGAAGACCCACGGCAAGTGAAATGGTGGTTTTGGGCAGCAGTGTCAGCAATCAGGTGTTATTTCTCATACACAGTCCTAAAATACTGTTGTAGGATATAAAAATTACACCACAGTTTGACATAGCATTGCCCATAGTTTATAGGCCCTGAAGAAATAGCTTTAGGAAATGGCACTTTCATATCCAGACTGCGTGTCTTTTTCCAATAGTTTAATTCTTTGCAATATAAAAACATATTTTCTGAAGTGTATTTTTGCTATTCAACACGTCATTTGAGCACCATTACAGTTTTTTTCTATGCTTTACTTTGCTCTGCTGTTACCTATATAAAGATGATATGTGCACTTGTATGAAATGAAGTGAATTCATTATTCCAGTTCAGTCTTTCGGATCCTAACTACAGAGATCTGAACTTGCTAACAAAAACCATCTGTAATTCAGTCATTGTGAAACAAACAGAATGTGAAAGCAAGATGAAGCTTTCAAACTTATTAATCTGCAGACTTGTATAGATGGTGGATTTCTTGCTGTTTTCTTCTTTCTGTGTTAATGAAACACAGAGTAAATAATCTTCGACAGATGTTTCTGTGTATATAAAGGAAATGATCAATTTACTGAAAACGGAAGATTTTGCAAACTGCAGGAATTTCCCCACCAGTGTTTGTTGGGATTTAACCCAGCAGGTGGCTGAGCACCACACTGTGTTCATTCACTCCCTGCCTTCCCAGTGGGATGGAGGAGAGAATCGAAAAAAAACCCACAAAGTAGAATTCATGGATCGAGATAAAACTGTATACTAAGATAAAGGAAAATGATAATTATTATGGCAAATATATATAAAAATATATAATGAGTGATGCACAAGCAATTGCCCGCCAACCCCCAACCAAATCCCAGCTAGATCCCCAAGCAGCAGAAGAGAGTGAGATGCTCTCCCACCTCCTTCAGAACTCCTTCCACGTGATGTCATAAGGTATGGAATATCCTTTGGACAGTTTCAGTCAGCTGTCCTAATTCTGTTTCCTCCTAGCTACTTGGCCCTTTGCTGAGAATGGCCTTGGCTCTGTACAACGCTGCTTAGCAGCAACTATAAATATTGGTGTGTTATCAACAGTGTTTTTCTCCTAGAACCAATAACACAGCATTATACCAGGCACTGTGAAGAAAACAATTCCCTCCCAGCAGAAACTAAGGCAGTGTTACATCAGCAGCGCATGCATGTTAGAGGAACATCTCTTTTTCTCTCATCACATTATTGCCAAATTCATGTGTTGCCAGATAAAGGAAGACCCTCATGATGGATTAGAAGATCATGGAATCATAGAATCATAGAATCATAGATTTGTTCAAGTTGGAAAAGACCTTAAAGATCATCGAGTCCAACCACAACCTAACCATACTATCCTAACTCTAACAACCCACTGAGCACCACATCCAAACGGTTTTTAAACACATCCAGGGATGGTGACTCAACCACAGGAGCCTATTGCAGTGCTTAACAACCCTTTCTGTAAAGAATCTTTTCCTGATATCCAACCTAATCCTCCCCTGGCGCAACTTAAGGCCATTTCCCCTCGTTCTGTCACCTGTCACCAGTGAGAAGAGACCAACCCTGCTCTCGCTGTAAGCACATCTCAGGTATTTCAAAAGTGCAATAATGTCTCACCTCAGCCTCCTCTTCCCCAGACTAAACTGGGGAATTACCTTCAGTCTCTCCTCATAGGGCATATTCTCCAAGCCCTTCACAAGCCTTGTTGCCCTTCCTTGGACCTGCTCCAGCACCTCGATGTTAAAGATCATTAAAGACTACTGCTTCTTTACAGTGAGACTTTATTGTAATAGTTTTTCAAGGAAAGATTAGGGAAATAATCATTCATATGCAAGTTATTTCACAGACATCTGAGCCCAATAAAATGAAGACTGCTGTAGGAGTGTTTTTGTGTAACTGGAACGCTTGCCTCCCCCTTCTGAATTTTTCCTCTGGACCCTTCTCCATCAGAAGTACCACAGATTTCAATCACTTTCTAATTCCATAGAATACATAGCCATTTCACTGCATTTTTGACAGTCAACCATTTAGTCACTGCTTCAATCAGTTCTGTCACTCATAATTATCTATAACCCAGTGCAGGATACCTCAGGAATGGATTTACAATCAATTATTATATACCTTACTCTGATGCTCCATCTGCTTTGAATGCCCACGGAAGCTTTGCACAGGAGGAGGTGCTTCCTTGGTGGATGCTAAAGCATGCAGCACTTCATCCACAGCAGCAGGTGGTACAGATAGGTGAGCCAAAACTCAGTGTCACTTGGTAAGAAATTGTCTGGAGCTACCAACTCAATTTTTGTCAGTTGAGCCTATGTGAGGCTCTTTGGGCAATAGTAACAGTTATGAAACCAAAATGTACCACTCATTTGGATTATGAAATTATTAATTTGCAGCTTTCCTTGCAGCCTAGAGCACTTGTTTATTGCTTGTAAATATTTCCATGCTGATTAGATATGAGCAAAAAGATTGTGCTGGAGTAATTTATTGCCAAAAAAACCCTCACAACTCCACACTAGAAAATGATCAGAAAAACAGACTGGTACTAGAAAGATGTAATGAAGCCCCCAGATTGAGGGAATGAAGAACATTTCTTTAGTCTTTAGAAGAGATTATTAGGAAAGCGTGGTAATGTTTGTAATAGCCATGATAGCAGGGAAGTACTTAAAAGCCCCTGTTGTCCATGTCTACTAGGAGTTAGACAAGGATTAATGAATTTCAATCAAATTAACAAAGACTTAAATTAAATATTAGAAATCTTCTTAACAGTAAGGGTAGATAAACCATAGAATGCCTTGTCTTAAAGAGTTGGGAAATCCTTCAAGAAATGTGTAATTAATCCTACCTTTGTAAAGCAGCGGATAATCAGACAATCTCCAAGGAGCCCTTTCAGGACTGTGTTTTTTGAATTCTGCAGTATTTAAACATCTCTGACTTAAAATTATTTCTTTGTAGATGGACCGATGCAAAATGCCTTTTTGGCTACAGATACGTCAGACAACATACTAATTGAAGAGATGAGACAAACTGCAGGAGTATCTGCTGGATAAAGCCTTTAAAGGCTGTTCACTTTTTCCATTGGAAGTCAGCATAGAGATACAGGGACTGAAGTCCCCACTTACAAAACTGCCCACCACTTTCTGGTGCTTCATATTTTTTCTAGAAGCATTAAAAGCTCTTTACAATGCCTCAGCCATTCAGAAGTTTTATAGTAACCTCAAGACAGGTTATTATATACCTGCCTTGAGGTATATACCTGCCTGCATCAACCAGAATTAATAACTGTGTTTAAAAAAATTGGCCCATTATTATTTTATTTCCAATTGCCTGGATTAAAACATCACCTTTAATGTCATCTATTTCCTCCTTGTGCGAAACCAAACTGAGTTTCTGCACACTGCAGCCCGTAACACCAGAATGTAGTAAACTTCAAGTTCACTCTTGATCTTCCTTCTGCAGTGCAGAACGCATCCCAGACTGCACCAGCCAGCACTAAGCCACTTCTCCAACTCTGGTTTGTGCAGCCTTGTGAGGAATTTCTCAGTGTAGCAGCCAGCTGCTCAAACTTGCATGAAATATGATAACAAAATCACAAAGATTTTTAAAGGACTTTAAATGCTATGTAAACAAAGACATAAAAAGCAGTAAAAATCCATTGCTGGCATTATTACAAAAAATAGGTGATCAAGGTTTAAGAAATTTAAAATCTTCATGAAACTTGTAATCTTCATCTCATATTTAAGCAATCCTGGCCCTGGCCCTTCTCCATCCTTCCTCTTTAAGGATTCAAAGTATTCTACAGTGAAATTTATTTTTTCCTCCACTGCATCATCACAACAAAGTTGAAAGCTCAGCTCCACTCTGTCCTGTTAATATCTTAGCTACCTGCTAAAAAAAATTAGTATAGTGACTATTGAGCTCTCTGACATAAAATTTACCACACATATGGAAGTAATTAAGTTAATGGCAATGAAGACTGAGCTATTTTCCCATCTTCTGGCAAGTCAGAGACTAGTGGCTCTGAATGGTGCTCACAGAAGCTTACAGGGAAGTTAGCATCCTGCTGTTTTTTTTTCTATCCTATTGGGAACTAAAAGATTACTACAGGCTTTTGAGCTGCCAAACTCGTACTTTCCTTTATCACTTATGAAGGGATTTCTGTCAGCCATCTAAAAGTTAGGTGACTACTTCAAGATAGTCACTCCAAACACTTTGTCATTGACAAAAAAAAGGACAGAAACTGCTAGAGCATGATTCATCCCATCTATGTATGATATCATCTAGTAGATTTATCTGTGCCCTTCTTCCTCTGATGACTGAATGAAAAATGAATACATAGCAAAGTCCACAGACTTAACATAAATGGTTAAAATAAATGGTTAAAATTGCAGGAATTAAATACTATGCAGTTTACCCAGGTAGCTTTGGGCATTTAGCATTTTTGGAGGAATGCAGCTATCCCAGCTGTCTGCACATTCTTTTCCAGGCCCAGACAGTGGGTGATGTGGGAGGAATCACCCTGCAGAAGTGCCTGTCTCTTCAGGGAGGCCTAATGAGAATGGGCCTCTAATTAGTGCAGGAGAGGTTAAGTATGTAGATAAATTCAAACCAAAACAGTCAGTTATTCACAGAGAAAATGAAAAGTAATTTCTCTCCCTTGGAGATGGAAGCACTTTCTGCACTACATTGCAGCGCTCAGGATGTAATAAAGGACGCTGTGAATATCATCATAAAAAAGTTACTCAATTTGAGAATTAGTGCATGGTCTGAAGGTGTTCTAGGGACCCACTGTGGCAGAACTGTGAATTTTAGAAGCTCACCAGTGTTTTCTCTAAGATACAGCATGAATGAATACTTGATGTGTAGCCTAAATTTCATTAAAATTGTATAAATTCTAATAATTACTCACTTAAGAAGGGAAAAGCTACAAGAAGGAAAATAACCATGGATACTAATTACTTTTCCAAAATACAGACAGCATTAGACAGTTTAATCAAAGCACCGCCTGTACCAGGTTAGTTCTAAGGATGCCTACTGTATAAGAAATTATTATCAACTTGCTGCAGTAATACACTGCACAAGGTAATTCAGTAAAGAACACATGTGAGGCGTAGCCATCATCAATGGGATCTGAGCAGCAGCCGCAGCAATTTCAGTAAGGAGTGACTCAAATAATCAATGCAGACACCTCTAGCTTCACGAGTTCACACATACATAGAATCATAGAATCATAGAATTGCTCAGGTTGGAAAAGACCTTAAAGATCATCGAGTCCAACCACAACCTAACCATACTACCCTAACAACCCTCTGCTAAATCATGTCCCTGAGCACCACATCCAAACGGTTTTTAAACACATCCAGGGATGGTGACTCAGCCACCTCCCTGGGGAGCCTATTGCAGTGCTTAACCACCCTTTCTGTAGAGAAGTTTTTCCTGATATCCAACCTAAACCTCCCCTGGCACAACTTGGGGCAACATTTAAGCCCTTCAGTTTTATTTGTTGCAGCAGTGGAACTAGAAATACTGTTTCAGAAAATCAGGAAGACTAACGGGTCCTGAGTGCTCATGAGTGCTATCCCCAAGCTCTTGTTCCTTGCCCCATACCACCGAGTAATGGAACAGCTGAAAACTAGTTCACATTACAGATTACCCAAAGGCACTCCTAAAATATTTTGCAAGCAAAGGAACCACCCTCTTAAATTAAATTGCTTTCAAAAACAAATGTCAAAACAAATCAAAGTAAAGGAGCTTCTCAGCAGAAACCCAGCAGCAGGTATCACCCTTGTCCATTTGGATGGCTACCCTTCTAAATGGCTGGCTGTGAGATGTGAAGGAGCACACATGAGGTCAGCCACTCATAACACAGGAGGAAGAGGAAGGGAACCAGGAATTCTTCAGTTCCTGCTCTGCACCACCACAGGTAGAAGAGTGTCTGGGA